CTTTTGGCATCATTCTTCTAGCTATATGGTTTAAATATTACATACATAATAATGGGGAAAAAATAAAAACAAAAAATAATGGGGAAAAAGTTACAAAAATAAAATAAAATTGTGGGGTCATTTGACCCCACATAACCCTATGTGGGTCCGCCCCTGTATACCTTATTTGACACCTCCTACGTGTCAAAATCTGGCCATTGTTTGAAAAAAAATGTTTTTAAAATCAATGTCTAGAAATTTGACAACTCACATATAGCAAAATTCAAAATTCATTTCACTGCCCTCCTTTATGACCTAATGTTAGTAAAACTTGATGCAACAATTACGTCATTATGTAATACTGAAATTTAATAAGTGGTAGTATCATATTGTACGAACATTGATTCAAGGAGAACAAGAGAAAGATGGAATAAGTGAAATTGTGTTTGATGGTTTGATTGCTCTTTTTCTTATAAATTGTTTTGCGGATACCTTTTTTCTGGCTGTTGACTTTGATGGATCAGATTATTGCTTACTGTAGACTTCTTCAAAGAACTTATAAAAGACATGGCTGGACAGACTTTAGGATTCATGGCCAGGGATTTGCGTGCTCTAATTGCTGATGCTGGTGCAAATTAAAAAATATTATTAAGGGATAGAATCTCAAATCGAATAAAGATGAAAACATGAACCAACTTATAAAGAATTGGATTACTCCTCTTAATAAGGTTGCCCTTTTAAAATGGAACCTCAATTATTAACATGATCACATTGAATAAAGATAAAATCATAAATTAACTTATAAAGAATTGTGTTACTCCTCTTAATAAGGTTAACCTTTTAAGATGGAACCCAATTCTTAACATCTATTGCCTGTTTCCATGACGAGAAATTTGAATATGGGGAAAAAAGCAAGTTTTCACTCGATTCCAATCCGGTGGAGAGTTGCAGACCCACAGAAGATTAGGCTTTTGTGTAAGTTTACAGATTGGGATGAATTATAGGATATGCTATCCGTCAATTTCTTGTCCTCTATGTATGTTTCTACTAATGGCATTCCAAAGTCATTGTACAGAACCCGTCCCTTTTTGTGATGAAGTCTTGAAAAGCAGATGTGGCCTTGTTATAATTTTCTGGAAAGTTTACAGCTTTCGAGGAAAGAGATTTTATGTTTGTGAATAGAAATTCTAGAATCGTCGGAACTAATGTGAAGAAGATTGCTAACATTGCAGAGGTGTTGCAGCAAGTAGGTGTGCCTTCCTCGTCTACCTGTTATCTTATAAGTCTAAAGCCTGGTTCAGTGTAGGGGGATAATGAGAAATTTAGCATGTTTTGAATGGGGTGCTAAGGATGGGATTTAACCCTTTGAGATTGAATTTTGTTGTTGCACATTGTGAAAAACCCCTAAACCTTCATGGGATTACAAGGTCGAGGTTTGGCTTGTCAGATATTAATGTTATGTCAGCTTTTAGATTGCAACCTGATTGCATGACTATATTTGAGGAGAAAATGTTAAGGGTGATAGGGTTCTTTATAAATGAGATGAAATGGGAGCCTGGACTTGTTTACTGATATCTGGAGGTTCTTCTTTATAATGTGGAGAAGATGATGTCCCCAGGCGTACATAAAAATAATACATAAAACTATGTGTTTACAACATTTAGGCTAATCATTTCAAAAACAGTTTTTGAAATCAATGAAAATCAATGGACTAGATCTTGCCAACACTTAGTTTGAAAACGAACTGTGTACAGCTAGATTAGTTCGGATTAAAAAGTTGACTATATTTTAAACTAACAATTGGTAAAATGTCATATGACATTATACAATCCCTTATATAAACCTTTATATACGTGTAGTAAGATCCTTTCTTGAAAAAAATTGTGTACATGTCTTGCCTCGACTAGTGGGTGTTTATAGTCAAGAGATGGCCTCATAGTAATGGGATTGGTCAATATTCAAGAGATTGCTTCTTTATGGATTGATCTTGGTGATTTCTTTCTGCTAGTCGTGTATTTTTAGACAAGCAAATCCTTGCAATTTTTGGATTTTTCAGCGGTCCAATACTGTCAGATTTACATCCTTGCTCCTTCATATTAATTATACTTCACTAGATCAATGAATGCAGTCCGCCTTAATCCCGAATGAGAGTATGGATCAAGGATTATTCAATTTTCAAGAAAAGAAACCTAACTTCCTTAACCATATAAAAGGTTGAACCCCAACCTTGAGGGCCCGTCCTGCCCCTAGAGCATTGTGGAGGAGGTAAATCGTGGGATGTGTCTCAACAGGTCAGGGTACAAGAGCTGCTATATTGGTACCTACAAAGAATCCAATTCCATACATTGTAAGAGACATGGATTGAACTCTCACACTACAACTGTCAACTCGGCTAAAACTACCTTACTCTTATCCTTTGCACCATTGAATTATGCCTCCAAGGGCGCTTCCTTAACCATATTGATTGATGCACAGCAGGGTTTAGCTTTTCTAAAATCAAATGTATTTCTAGGGCAAATAAGTTAATTGCTCTACTTTAAACCAAAAATTTAATTATTTAAAAGAAAAATTGTCAAAATATGCTCTTAAGGCCTTTTTTCCATCAAAATGCATTCTTGAACAGTGATTTAACTTCATTTTAACCACACGTTCTTTAAAAAAATAATATTACATACAAATTCAAAAATTTTCCTTATTTTTAACCACACTTTCTTCATAACTTCCACACATTTCACTGTTATTGTGGAAAACGTTCATAACTTTCATTTTTTTGCATTTTCTCCCTTATTTTCACCATTCATTATGCAATAGGTCCTTCTCATTCATTTTCTCAATTGAAAATCGTAAAATGACTAATATAAGATTCTCTTTAAATAAAACAAAAGAAAAAAGAAAAATTAATTGCAATCATAGTCCAAAATTTTTTAAAGAGGGCAAATGAGTTCCAAATAAATTACTAAAAGGGTAATTAGCACATAATGTCTCTACCTTTTACTATTGTTGCAAAAAAGTCCATACATTTTATTTTATTTGTATTTTCACCCTTAATTATATATTTGATTCGCAAACCATCATCATTTCATCTAATTTTTCAATAAAAAGTCGTGAAATGACAAATATACACTCCTATTTAAATAAAAAGCTAAACAATTAATTGTAATCATAGTCTCTTTTTTTAAAAAAATTGGCAAACTAGTCCCCAATAAATTAATAAAAAAATTTATTTTTTATAAAAAAGTGCAAACGAGTCCCAATTAAATTTATTTAAAAATTAAAATAATTTTTAAAAAGATTAAAAAGTGCAAATGAGTCCCAAATAAATTATTAAAGAATTAGAATTTTTTTTTAAAAAAAAATTTATTTAAATAGGATGGTATATTCATTATTTCACAATTCTTTATTGAGAAATTGAATGAAAATGATGGTTTGTACAATCAAAAGTGTAATTAATGGTGAAAATATATATATAAAAAAAGAAAGTTATGGACCTTTTTTGCAATAATGGTGAAAGGTATGGACATTATGTACTAATTACATTTTTAATAATTTATTTGAAACTAATTTGAGCTTTTTTAAAAAAAAAATTGGAACTATAGTTGCAATTACTTTTTGTTTTATTTAAAGAGAATTGTATATTCGTCATTTTACAATTTTTAATTTAGAACATAAATGAAAATAACATTTTGCGCAATGAAATGTAGAAATAAGAGTAAAAATGTCAAAAAAAATTAAAGATATGAATGTTTTTCACAATAATAATGAAAGGTGGGGATGTTATGTACGTGGTTGAAAAAGAATTATTGACGTGATGAAAAAATTATTTTATTGAAAATCGTGTTGTTAAAAATGAGCACGAGTACGAGAATGAAAATTGTAATGATGCTCAAACAAGGACTCGAAGCTNTCTCCAAAAAATGGGTTTCAAACATACAATCCCTTATATAAACCTTTATATACGTGTAGTAAGATCCTTTCTTGAAAAAAATTGTGTACATGTCTTGCCTCGACTAGTGGATGTTTATAGTCAAGAGATGGCCTCATAGTAATGGGATTGGTCAATATTCAAGAGATTGCTTCTTTATGGACTGATCTTGGTGATTTCTTTCTGCTAGTCGTGTATTTTTAGACAAGGAAGTCCTTGCAATTCTGGGATTTTTCAGCGGTCCAATACTGTCAGATTTACATCCTTGCTCCTTCATATTAATTATACTTCACTAGATCAATGAATGCAGTCCGCCTTAATCCTGAATGAGAGTATGGATCAGAGATTATTCAATTTTCAAGAAAAGAAACCTAGCTTCCTTAACCATATAAAAGGTTGAACCCCAATCTTGAGGGCCCGTCCTGCCCCTAGAGCATTGTAGAGGAGGTAAATCGTAGGATGTGTCTCAACATGTCAGGGTATAAGAGCTGTTATATTGATACCCACAAAGAATCAAATTCCATACCTTGTAAGAGGCAGGAATCGAACTCTCACACTGCGTCTGTCAACTCGGCTAAAACTACCTTACTCTTATCCTTTGCACCACTGAACTATGCCTCCAAGGGCGCTTCTTTAACCATATTGATTGATGCATAGCAGGGTTTAGCTTTTCTAAAATCAAATGTATTTCTAGGGCAAATAAGTTAATTGCTCTACTTTAAACCAAAAATTTAATTATTTAAAAGAAAAATTGTCAAAATATTCTCTTGAGGCCTTTTTTTCATCAAAATGCATTCTTGAACAGTGATTTGACTTCATTTTAACCACACGTTCTTTAAAAAAATAATATTACATACAAATTCAAAAATTTTCCTTATTTTTAACCACACTTTTTTCATAACTTCCACACATTTCACTGTAATTGTGGGAAACGTCCATAACTTCATTTTTTTGCATTTTCTCCCTTATTTTCACAATTCATTGTGCAAAAGGTCATTCTCATTCATTTTCTCAATTGAAAAATCATAAAATGACTAATATAAGATTCTCTTTAAATAAAACAAAAGAAAAAAGAAAAATTAATTGCAATCATAGTCCAAAATTTTTTAAAAGAGGGCAAATGAGTTCCAAATAAATTACTAAAAGGGTAATTAGTACATAATGTCTCTACCTTTTACTATTGTTGCAAAAAAGTCCATACCTTTTATTTTATTTGTATTTTCACTCTTAATTATATATTTGATTCGCAAACCATCATCATTTCATCTAATTTTTCAATAAAAAGTTGTGAAATGACAAATATACACTCCTAGTTTGCACAATCAAAAGTATAATTAATGGTGAAAATATATATATAAAAAAGAAAGTTATGGACGTTTTTTGCAATAATGGTGAAAGGTATAGACATTATGTACTAATTACATTTAAATAATTTATTTGAAACTAATTTGCGCTTTTTAAAAAAAAAATTGGAACTATAGTTGTAATTAATTTTTTCTTTTTCTTTTTATTTTATTTAAAGAGAATTGTATATTCGTCATTTCACAATTTTTAATTTAGAAAATAAATGAAAATGACATTTTGCGCAATGAAATGTAGAAATAAGAGTAAAAACGTCAAAAAATATTAAAGATATGGATGTTTTCCACAATAATAATGATAGGTGGGGATGTTATGTACTAATTAACTTATTTTTCACAAATAAACGTGTGACTGAAAAAGAATTATTGTCGTGATGAAAAAATTATTTCATTGAAAATCGTGTTGTTGAAAATGAGCACGAGTACGAGAATGAAAATTGTAACGATGCTCAAACAAGGACTCGAAGCTCTTATCTTGTTCTCTCGTCTTGATTTGCTCAAATTTCTGCATAACCTCCGTATAAAGATATACAGACTCTGTATCTCTATATCCCACGTTAGTATAATTTGGAGAGCAAATTGATTAATTAACTGATTCTGTTGAAGATTAGGGTTTGTGGACTGCAACTGTGCTTTGAATTGGGTGTAAAAATGGTGGAGAGAAGAAGGAAGCCATTGGTGCTTTCTTCAACTAAAGCTCTGATTAATTCTGTATTGAAATCTCCATCCAAAACTGAAGAAATTGATCAAACTGAACCTCTGCCGTCCGTCCATAGTTCCTCCCCCACTCTGCAGTTAACGGCGGGAATTCTTGGATTCTGTAAGGGCGAGGATGAGGTTTTACCCTCTCTTGATGATTCGGCATTGGTTGGCCTCTCCACTTCTGTGCTGAAACAGTTATCTATCACTTCAGGCTCTCTGGTATAATTTTGTCATTCAGCTCTAGTGTAGTATTTTTGTAAGTAAATTAATTCTGGGTTTATGCAAATTTGGAACAATCAGTATTTTGATCGTCAAATTAGCGTAATTGGTTGAGTTGTTTATTTATTTTCTCATGTAATTGGGTTTATGCAAAGTTGGAACAATCAGAATTTACAACTGTCCCTACCAGTTTTTTCATTCTTTTGCTTTCAAAGAAATGTAGTAGCTTGCTAATATAATCATTCCATGGACACACTCGACACATATTGGAATAAACTGTCAACCTACAACTTTGGGATAATTTTGTGTTTTTGAGTGGAACCTTGATGGATCATGGAATTCATTGACCCATTTTTTACCTTATTTTTAACAAGTAGATACTCATCAAGAATGGAGATGGCAATATAAGTAGAATTGGACAAGCAGTGGTTTTAGATCCACCGAATGCTGATGAGAACTCCTCCAACAATCCATCGATCTCTTCTCATTCTCCTCGAATAATGCGGCTCTTACCATCATATACCTATCCTCAAAGTCAATCTACACATTTTGATCCTCAAGTGGCATATTTATCTCCCATTCTAGCATTCAATCTAAATTTACATTTGTCATGCTTGAAATATATTTTGCACCGAGGGAAAGAGACTTTGTCATCTTTGTTTGAAGTCAATGTTGATGGTGACGTAAGTGAAGAGGACAATGAGCTGACTATCATTAGTCTAGGAATTGAACCATGGTCTCAGTTGCCAAAGTATGCCTCACATTTGAGGGTTTCTTTTGTAAAGATTCCACAATGCGGTACCCTTGAAACCCTTAAAAGCAGTTCATCTATTGAAGCGAAAGATCGTCAAGACTTGATAGATTTCGCGTTGAACAACTACTTTGCTATGGATAGATATCTTGCCAGAGGCGATCTCTTCAATATATGCATAAAATGGAATTGCAACTCAGAGCTATGCATCCCTTGCAGCCAAAATATGCAAAATGGTGGCAGTGACATAATATACTTCAAGGTTAATTATTTTTTTCTTCAATTTCATTTGTCTTGCTAATTGCTTGAGGAATGTTTCAGTACTTATTATAATTTTCATCATGCGAATTTTCAGGTTGCATCTATTGAACCATCAGAGGAACTTGTTCTTAGAGTGAATCGTAGTAAAACTGCTCTTGTGCTAGGAGGGAGTGTTCCTTCTGCTGTTCCCCCTGATCTTTTAATTCCTGGACCAAAAAATTTCACACCTCTACAAGGGAACACAGTACAAGCTTTGGCCTCCATACTTACACCAACTCTATGCTCATCAACACTTTCATCAAAATTCAGGGTTGCCATCCTGTTATATGGTCTTCCTGGTGCGTAATCAACTTCTCGATTCCCAACTTAGAACCAGAAAGAAGTGATTTTTATAGTTTAATACCGGAAGTACAAAATTAAATTTATGATCCATGGTCCTGAATGTTTATTATGAATTCTGACTCCTCTAATTTCTGCACCTTTAAATACAAAATATGTTAAACAATCATGGCTAAAGATTTTGAAACTTCTGAAAGGTTCTCTTAACTTTTCAAGATATGTACTTTGCATATGCCATAAATTTCTGATCACAATTTGCAGGTTGTGGGAAGAGGACTGTGATTAAACATGTTGCTCGAAAGTTGGGCTTGCATGTGGTTGAATACAGTTGTCATAATCTATTGGCATCTTCTGAGAGAAAGACATCTGCTGCAGTAGCTGAAGCCTTCAATACAGCCCACAGGTATTTTGACATCCCTGAGTTGTCAAGTAAGCAGCAATAGTGTTATTATACGGTGAATTTATGTGGTTTCTAAATATGGCTATTGTACAATGGTTTCTATTACATTGCAAACAGTATGACCCCTGTGCTTGAAGGAGGGGACAAATGTGAATACCTGGGAAGAAATATTGAAAAAGTCTCTCTCTTCTCTTTTCATTTTCTCGTAACTCCCTCCTTTCCCCACTCTACGATTTCAATGCAAACCCCTAAATCTGGAATAGGGTACAACAGGACAAAAAGGATACTCTTTCCGACTTATGTTTTGTTTTCCTTCTCGTATTCCCGATGCCATATGTCACCCATCCATTATGATGTGTTCACAACTACTAGATATATGAAATTGCATCTCACTTTCACTTTCACCTTCCATTTTCATATTTTAATTCTTTTTTCTGGAAAAAACCTGTCATTCCTCAATCGTTCAAAGCTTCTTATTCTGGATTTCAGTGACTGGACAAATGCTTCGGGATGTCCTGCTTAAGAATCATCAAATACAAAACATATAGCATATAAGGTTTCCAGTAATAAAATTTTTGATGCATATGTTTCTTTTTTTCATAAATTTTAGTTTTGAATTAGTGACTTGATGTTGTTTAATTCTGTCCTGACGAATCTAATTTATTGTATTTTATCATTGTTGCAGATACGCTCCTACAATTCTTCTGCTTCGCCATTTTGATGTATTCCGTAATTTAGCATCGCAAGAGGGTTCGCCACAAGAGCAAGTCGGTGTTAGCTCGGAAGTTGCATCTGTCATTAGGGAATATACTGAGCCAGTTCTCAAAGATGAAGATGATGATTTCGAAGAAAAAATATTTGGTGATCCTGTAAGATGCGAGCTATCTATCCTCGATCACTTATTTTCTAATCCTTTTGTAAACTTTAAAGCTTCCTGATCAAATGTTAATTATATTCCTGATCACTGTGTATAGTTGTCAAATATACCTTCCTGTTTCATCCTCTTTAGTTGTGTTGCTTTATCCCATATAATATGAGCATACAGTAAGGAGACAGTATTCACTCTATTTTGAACCTATCCCGTTTCTGAGGACAATGTGCATCTGGTGGAACTATGCCAAAGCGCTAGTGATGAGTGTTTAACATCTTTTGGAAGAGACTTAAGAACTTTGGACGTCCTTTGAATTTTTCAGCTCCTATGCTTCTATTGGCCCTTCAAAAACCTGACTAACTTAAAGGACACATCTCTCTTCCAGCAATCACTTTTAAGTGAGTTGGGAATTACAAAAAGTAGCCTAATCATAGTAGTGAATGAGGACTCCTAGATTAAAATGGAAGTTCTTGTAGTGAAAACGTGTTTGAAAGAAAACTATTAAGTGTCTGTATTGATTCTTATGTTGATGCAGCAATTCAAAGTAGCTGAAAGGATAAACAGGCACCCAGTATTGTTAGTTGCAGCTGCAGACAGTTCTGAAGGCCTTCCACCAACTGTTAGGCGTTGCTTCAGTCATGAAATCAGTATGGGACCTTTGACAGAAGAACAAAGGATTCAACTGTTGTCCCAGTCTTTTCAAACTGTCTCTGAATTGGTTCGTAATGTTTGTTACTATTGTTTACTGTTGACATTATAAATAATATGGTAAAAGTAGGATTACTATACCTCTTTCCCTCAGGGTTGGGACAAGAAATCATTTCACTTCCCTCCTTTATGTCCCAATGTTAGTCAAACAAGATGCAACAATCACGTCATTATGTAATACCGAAATTTAATAAATAGTAATATCATATTGCACAAACGTTGATTCAAGGAGAATAATAGAAAGGTGGAATAAGTGAAATTGCATTTGATGGTTCCATTGTTCTTTTTCTCATAAATTGTTTTGTGAAACCTTTTCTGGTTGTTGACTTTGATGGATCAGATTATTGCTTACTGCAGACTTCTTCAGAAGACCTTATAAAAGACATAGTTGGACAGACTTCAGGTTTCTTGGCCAGAGATCTGCGTGCTCTAGTTGCTGATGCTGGTGCAAATTTAATATCTAGTACCAGTTTCCAGGAAGAGAAATTTGGATCTGTGGAAAAAAGCAAGTTTTCACTTGATTCCAATCCAGTGGAGAATTGTGGGCCCACAGAAAATGCACCTCGGAACCTGGGAAAAGAAGACATTATTAAAGCACTGGAAAGATCGAAGAAACGAAATGCATCAGCTCTAGGTACTCCAAAGGTAATCTGAGTAAATTCAAGCTCGATAAGATGCTTTGGTCTTTCTTCCATAATCTAATTTCCTGGTAAAAATGGAAAGAGAAACAGATAATGGAATCAACATGGCCAATCAAAGAAGTGGTATGTTGTTTAGCAATGTTGACTGTGTCGTATTTTATGTATCAGAAAAGTTGAAATGGTGATTTTGGAACATTTTGGTAGCAGTTCATATGTTTATTAACAGTTAGTTAATACATGCAGATATTTATGTATGTTTGTATACTACCATCCTTATCATCCCCTTGAATGATACTATTGTAGGTACCTAATGTCAAATGGGAAGACGTTGGTGGGCTTGAGGATGTAAAGAAATCAATTCTGGATACTGTTCAGGTGAGGCCCTTTTTCTTGTTTACTGCTACACAGGATGGATTGACTAGAAATAAAGGTTTTATTATTATTTTTGTATAATCAGGATAGAAGTATATTTTATGGCAACAGAATAGATGATCTTTAGCTGACGATTCTCTTAAAACTTATTTTAAGTCTAAAAGATTGTGCCTAAGCTGTTTCACACTAGAATAAAGTAGTTCGCATGCTTGTATTTTGCGCTGGGAGGTTGACTGTTTCCCTGTTTCAAAGTCTATACTTCAAAATTTTTTTTTATGAAATTTTTAGCACACTGGATATTGGCTTTATGGATGCCTGGTTTTGTGACGAATTACTTGCCAAAGAGTAAAGAATTTGTTGCATCCTCCTTGCAGTTATGTGATGGTTAAAGTGCATTGAGCAAGCTTTTACTACACAACAATTTGTCATGTTGTAATACATTTGAGATTTTAAATCCTTCATGGGAAAGGGTTCAAATTGATAATTGAACTTTGTGTTTAGTATTTCTCTGTCCTGTTAAAATGAAAATTTTCAGTTAATCCACACTCACAGGACTGCCAATTCATTCATCATTTTTTTTTTCATATCATTGTCTTGTATTAAAATCATTAATTAAATTTGAGTAAGTATATATTTTAATAAATTCAAAACCAGTATCCAAAATATGTTAAAGATATATTTCCAATGATTTTATTAGTATCCCTTTTACCCTTTTCATCCTTCATTCTTCCTACACAATGCCTTTGCTATGTACATAGAAGAGTGTCGTTAATATGATGTATTCAATCTAAACTACTTTGGTTGGCTCATTGTAACCAGTTGATGCTGAATGTTTCAAATCATATTGGCAGCTTCCTCTCCTGCATAAGGATTTGTTCTCATCTGGGTTGCGGAAGCGATCAGGAGTTCTTCTTTATGGTCCACCAGGAACAGGGAAAGTAAGTTATAGAAGTCAGCTTTTCCAATTTTCTCCACTATGATTTACATCAGATGAGATTTCCGATGTAACCCCTATTTCAATATCTATGGAAGGCACCATTTCTATAACCTTTACCATTATTTTTCTATTGCAAACCTCAGACATTACTTGCAAAAGCTGTTGCTACAGAATGCTCCCTGAATTTTCTCAGCGTAAAAGGACCTGAATTGATCAATATGTACATAGGAGAATCGGAGAAAAACGTGCGAGAGATTTTTCAGAAGGTAAAAGTTATCTTTTTGTGGTCAGTAAAGTTCATAGTTTCTGTTCAACTTGGAAATATTCTGATTAATTACTTCATCTTTTTCAGGCCAGGTCAGCTCGTCCTTGTGTTATATTCTTTGATGAACTTGATTCTCTTGCTCCTGCCCGGGGTGCCTCTGGAGATTCTGGGGGCGTCATGGATCGGGTGGTTTCTCAGGTGCCAATTCTTTTCTCTTCCCTCTATCAGATTTTTTTAGATCTTTTGTAACCAATACGTAAACTCAACCACCACCAAGATACGCATACAAGAGTTGAAGAAAAACAAAATACGAATGTAAAGAAATAAATAACTGACAAATAATCCAGTATGGTTGCCTAATATACTCCATTGTGTTTCTAGATGCTTGCAGAGATCGATGGCCTAAATGACGCTACACAGGTTGGTTATATTCTTGGACAACTGTTTCTTTATTGTTTGCACTATTTATTTCTGTCTCTGATTCTTTAGCCAGTTTACCTTCTTTACTTTCTTACATTTTCTACTTTTTTGTTTGGAGAGACAATAGGACTTGTTTATAATAGGAGCTAGCAACAGACCAGATCTTATCGACCCAGCACTTCTGAGGCCTGGCAGATTTGATAAGCTTCTCTATGTTGGTGTTAATTCTGAAGCATCTTACCGGGAGAGGTTTATTGCTTGTCAGTTTAGTTAACACTTGTATTTTCTGAATACATATCGTATTTTATTCTTCTACTGTGTTTTGCAGGGTACTTGAAGCACTGACACGGAAGTTTAAATTGCACAAGGACGTGTCATTATATGAAATAGCAAAGAAATGCCCACCAAACTTTACTGGTGCTGACATGTATGCCTTGTGTGCAGATGCTTGGTTTCATGCTGCAAAACGTAAAGTGAGTCTATTTACTCATATAGGGCCTGTTTGAACTGTTTGAACCCCATTTTTTTTTTTGTAAAATGTATTTTGGAATAGTAGATTGATGGGGAATGTGTGGTTAAAAATGGAGTAAAAGTTTTTGGTTTGTGTGTAATATTATTTTATTGAAGAATATGTGGTTGAAAAGAAGAAAGAGAAAAATGTTTTTTGAAAAAAATAGTGTTCAGACAAGGTCATAGCTTTAAAATAACCTCTTCCACGCCAAATTTCTCCTCTAAAATATAGATGGGATATATATATATTTTTTTTTGGTCAATTAACTCCTGTTATTCTGTGAAAAAATTTCAAGCACCATGAATGCATATACTTTTGCTGAAGAATTGGTCGATTAATATCTGTTGCAAGAGAAATTAAGCTTGATTATTTTTGTTTCTGCTTTAGGTATTAGTTACTGATTCAGATTTAACGGCCTCGCACGATCAGCCTGATTCCATTGTTGTTGAATATGAGGATTTTTTGAAGGTATGATGACCACATGTTACAGTACATGAGAGGATTATATCTTATGAACAGTAATCAGTTAATCGGAAAAGCAGAAAAAATTGTAGTTATCAATGAACTTCAATTTATGAAGTGTGATCCTCTCTCTCTCTCTCTCTCTCTCTCTCTCTCATCATAGAGGGAGGGAGGGAAAATTGGCAACAGATCATTTGATCTCTAGAGATGGAGAGAATTTTAATGGAGTTGTCAAAGTAGTGTAATAACATAGTAGCATAGCGCATGAAACCAAGCTAGGCATTATCCAATGTGTCTACTACATTGGCAAGAACAGACGTGTTTGAAAATATAAACAAAGGTACAATGAGTCTTTAAAACTTGGTGAAAAGGAAAACGCGGTTTTTGCAATTCTATGAATAAGGTCAGTAGTATTATTAAGAAAATTCATCATGTGTGTCTATTGTCATGTCTACTCATGTATAATACTGTATATCAAATATGCCCGTGAAAGTGTTGTAATTTAAAAAATCTGCCAAATCTGGATTAGCAATCTCTGAAATATTGTATTTACACCTTGAAGGTCGTAGGAGATCTATCTCCTTCACTATCAATGGCGGAACTTAGGAAATACGAATTGCTGCGAGAGCAGTTACAAGGAACCTCAAGATAAGCTGTTTCAGTGCTGTACGTATGATTATATTTACTGTTGTGTATAGATATTTATGAATTTATACAACCATGGTGGATCGTGTATAGTTTTGATAAATGAAACGAAATATATTTGGATGGTACTCACATTTACAGCAATCTATTCTACTAAAAATGAATAGATGGATATAATGAATTATTATGACGTATCTAATAAGATAAACATTCAAGTTTTGATTTAAGGGAAAATGTGATAATCTAATTTTTTTTTTAATGTTTAGTATATATAATTCAATAATTACATATCAACTATGAATTCACTCTTCAAATTCTAATTTTATCTTAAATTGAGGTTCAAATCAGTCATTCTTTTTTTTGACAGGAATAAGAATTTATCGACTTTTCCAAAAACACTGTGAGTTATAATTACTTAATAGTTACTAATTGCCTGTGCAAACAAATATATTTGTAATCAAATGTGAAAATAAATGCAAAAATAAAAATAAAAAATCGGATGGACCCACAAGTGTGGCTTATTGATTTCTTTTTTAAGGAAAAGTTAAGCTAAGGCCACATTCAACTAGCTAGTTGACCAACAGATAGGAGATTAAGGGATGACTTCACAAATAGGTAAGTGTCAGGTATAGAAAGTGTGAGAGCTGTTACACTGCTAGAAAATTTTTAACATGCAGACTGACAGAATACTCACACTAGGGGGAGGGCTCACAATTTTTTGGAAATTTTTTATTACAACGGGTCCCACGGCAATGTGAGTATCTGTCAAAAATCCGTGTCAATATTTTTCTGACAGAACAGCTTTAGCCAGAAAGTGTTGAGGTAGAAACATGCCCAATATTACGAACAGGCATATAAAAACCATCAACAGTATCAATGAGAGGAAAATGATTTAAGGACTTGCTTGTTAAAAATTGAAGAGGAATTGAAAATCATATGATTACAACAAGCGGAGTTGATGAACTAATAAGTGGATTTACCTAAGGAAACAGATAAAATACAAGAAGTATGGAATAGAACCTAGTTGATGGATACCTCAAGGTCCGTTGTAGTAAGAGAAGACAAGGAGGATGCATGAGAGGAGTCCAAAGTTGACGAATTAGTCTAAGCAGGAGCATCAACATGCTTGTAAGATGCCTTGGTCATTTGAGCATCCCTAGCATCTTTTGCCTTTTTTTTCATTGGACAATTTGAGATGCAATGACCTTCCTCCTTATAATAGTGGCACTGGCCGAAGAATCGGTGTTTGAAGGAAGCATCGTTGCAATTGGAGTAGGGGGAGCTAGATGGAGCTATAGCCGTGTCTAAATCAGTAGCATGAGTCCGACGAGTAGTCCGTCATGTCTCCTCATAAATGAGCCCTATAAGAACAACCTTAAACTCAGGCAAAGGAGAGCGATAAAGTAAAGAAGCCCCCGTGTCCTCAAAATCATCTTGAATATTCATTATAAAATGAATAAATTGACAGCAATCTCGATATTCTATAAGAAATCGATCATCAGGAAAGGCTGGATATGTCGAGGAGCTTATCCCAAAGACTACTAAATTGGAAGTGGCAGTCAGCAATAGATTGACGAGGCTCCTGAAATATCTGATAAAGCTTAGATTCTAACTGAAATTGGAGAGCAACATCACCAGAGCAATTGTATCGATTTGCCGAAAAATTCCAAGCAATTTAGCATTCCAAAACTTAAGAAAAAGACTCTGAATGAAAGGAACAAAAGTATTAATAAACCTTGAGAAAACCTTCAAGGCACTCATCAAAATCCTCGACAATTTCCTTGTCATATTTTGTAGGTTAGTTTTGATTCAATCACAAAACACCATACTCGTCAAAAAATAGACATATGTTGGACTCTAGCCTTCTTGTTGGTTTTAACCAAAATAATTTCTATAGTACGAGCAATATTCTTTGAAGAAGTTTAACAAAAAAATGCTGACCAAATCAAGGCAAATGACGATCGCCAGAAGAACGAACACCAAAAGGTTGGGATAGGTGAGAGATCCTTGGAGAAGTTGTCGACAATGGTCGACGGTATTGGAACGTGATGTTCTTTGCACCAAAAGAAAGATCTGGAGACATGAAATCGATTCTTAGTTGATTAGTGTATTTTTGCACACTTATTTAATACCTAAATGAGCTTTAATATTGATTAAATTAGTGAATTCCTACTCACAATTATGTAATTATTGTTTTTATAGGTAAAAATCACCCAAAAAATAGAACAATGCAAAANTATTGTTTTTATAGGTAAAAATCACCCAAAAAATAGTACAATGCAAAAAAGAAGAGAAAATGAGCAAAATCGTGCAAAATTGTGAATTTTGGGAACCAAAATGAACAAGTGTAGAAAGTGAAAGGATCTTGGATGCAATTTTTGGAGGGCATGATTGAAATGAAAGTAAAATTTGAAGTCCAAATTGTATACGATCAAAGTTGAGGGACCAAACATGCAAATAGTGGAGGACTAAGCTGGACGACATGAAAGGAGAAAAGACTCGTGCGCGCAAAGGCTTAGATAGCGCGTGCGGGACGACTAAAAACCAACCTGAGAACAAAGCGCAATGCCCTGCGCGCGCTGCTTTTTGTTGCGGCTGTTTTTGTTGTTTTTGCCAAAACTTGGAGACTAATTGGCTGCAAATTTCTTTTTAAGTTTTAAAACTTTGAAAAAGGGCAGCAGATGGGAGCTTCTTCTTCCATTATTCTTCTTCCCCTTTTCTTTACCTTTCATTTTCCCTTCTTTTTATTTTGATTTTACTTGTAATTTTTGGGGCAAAAAATCAAGAGGACAAGGAAAATACATTTGAAGAAATAGTTGGGGACAATCAAGATCAAGCCATAAAGAATCCAAATCCAAAGGGGGGTTTTATCTTCTCTCTTGTATTTTCTTCATTATTATCTTCTATTTGCAATATATTGTAGAAGAAATTTTCTCCTTTGTATCATATATTTAGCATGTGCTAAGTTTTATTATTAAGATTTATTGTTGAAACTTAACCTAATTTGGATTAATTTCAATATTTGTTTTTGCATATTTAAATGCTTATTTTCATGTGTATCTACTATTGTATTTCATGCATTTTCATTTATGTGGCCAATAAATAATTGTGTTTAGTGATTTGTATATCGTTTAAGAGAAGATTGTGCATTTTAGGCTGAATAGTAGAAATCCTATGTTTGTATAGGGTGTAGAGATATACCACTAACCATAGGTGACATATTGAGCTATTTTCACAAAAAATTAATACAGTTGTTTGGTTTTAATCGACATTGAGAGACATAGTAGGTTAAACCAATCAATTGTGGTTAATTTCGCTCGAGAGAGGTAATTAACTAAAATTGAAAAATCGGGTCTAACATCATAAACTAGTAATTTATTAATAGGTTTGTGGAGAAATTAATTAGGTGACAGTTAAATGAAATTATCGACCACGTTTTCTTCCAAAAATTTTCAAGTTTTTATATTTTCTTATTTTGTAGGTTTTTAGTTATTTTCCAAAACTAAAATCTTTATTTTTTGTGTTTCTTTTTATTGTTAGAATTAAATTAATTAAAGTTGTATAATCGAAAGTA